ATACGGCACTTACTTCTGCAGTATTAGTTTCTTCAGAATAGAATTTCTCAATATTCTCGAATTTATTAATTGCCAATAATATGCTATCCTAAAAAAAAAATAAATAAATAACTTAAAATTAATGTTATTATATTCAACACAATTATTTCATTATTTTTTAAATAGATGGGAATATTTATTACGAATATAAAAATTGTACAATTCTAATAACAATATATTTTGTTAAATACTCACTGCTTCGATATCCGTTCTCCCGGCAATGCTGCTTACAAATTCCGTCCCTTTAGTTAAAATCAGATAAGGACAATATTCGAACCTCTTAGCGTGCTTTACCCACGGATCATCTTCTGGCTCCCAATCCCTTAATTCTCCACCACAGTAATAGCACAATGTTTGATCGCCACTTCCCGTGTAATAGAAACCAGCAGTTGCCAGTGTCTCTTTAGTTTGCGACACTACTTTAGGCCATCTGTCGAACGAGGCTAATCTCGCAGCATAACTGACATATTCGGGATGCTTCGGTCCTGAGGCCATCCCTCTCGCTATTCTCGTAGCAATACTGACATATTTCGGTCTTGAGGCCATCCCTCTCAATTTACAAATCACTCTTTCTTCAAAGTAAGCCTTATTGTTATATATTCCACATACATCCACTCCTTTAGGTACAAATTCCGGAATCGTGTTAAGATCTGTACCGATCGGCACGTTGCCGCACGGAATATTATTAATAAACCGACACTCCCCAGACCATTGTTGATGATAGGCCATCGGATTGTCATCCATCTGCCATATGCCATATATTTCTATTGGACATTCGAAACATTTCACCTTGTCGCTCTCTCCAGTATAATAAAACCCAGCCGCCGCGAGTTTCTCTGGCTTTATCCATAAACCGCTTGTCCATGGCCAATTTTTGAAACTTTCCAACCGGGTGGACTCAAATCGATAATCGGCATACGTTTCGTCGAAAAATAAGTGAGATTTTATTGGTGAACTGGGTGGCAAACGACATTGAGGAATCGCGTAGTGTTCGACGCATTCAGTCATTTTCTTAATGTTTGTAAGGATGCCCTTGTGAACCTGTAAAGAAGAAATAAATATCAATAGATACTTAAATTTAAATATAATAACAATTTGTCAAAAATTTTACTCAATGTATACTTAACAAACGATATAAACAATAAATACATTATCATTTCATTAATATGTCACTGTATATTACAAATTACATAAAGCTTTTAAAAATGAAGCAACAAAATTCAATTTGATGTGATTTTACAGTTATTTTATCTCCTTCCAAACCAATATTCTTATCCAAAACATTTTTTGCCATAACTCTTACTTTTAGAAATAATCGTAACACTATAAATGTCTCATTTTGAATACATTCACGATGATGAAAGTATAAAGCGTGTTATTTTTATATTTGTTTTTAATTTAATATTTAAATTAATATTTTAAACATGCAATTTCTGTACTGGTCTAATAAAGTTATTTACGTTTAAAAAAATTACGAAAGCATTATATACAGAGGATAGATAAAATAACGTGAACACTTTGTAGTGTATTTTCCAGTTCGTATATGTTCACCATTATTTTGTTCATCCCCTGTAACCAACAGCGTCTCTAGGCTTCTATGTTCCCCCCTTATCTCAGGAAAAGACAGATCGTTGACGCGTAGCATACATACATATACACACGGAATCTTTTATCAGACTTTTTTTTAATTTTTATCAGTCTTTATAATAATGGTGATAAGTAAAAAATTTTATAGCCGAATCCGCGGATTATTTATCACATGGATAAAGACACTATAAGATTTACATTTGTATAGTACGTTCAACAGGCTTTATGACATGATTATTACGCCGCATATTTTCATATTTTTCGCACACTCCGCACACGCCAATAAATAT